TCGTGATTCGCCGCGACGATCAGATTGGCCCTATCAGCGGAGTAACCCATTACGTTTCGGAGTCGCTGCAGCCGATGCTGCCGACCGCCGTGCAAGGCATGTTCGAGGAAACGCAGCAGAAGAACGTTGTCGAGTCGCTTTGCGTTTTGTACGTAGCGTTGACGCGAGCGGTGCATGGACTGCACATGGTCATCAAGCCCCGGCCGCAGCCGAAAAGTGGCGGCGACGGCCCCTCAAAGTCGTTCTCGGGCATTATCTTGAACGGCCTGACCGATATCCCTTATCCGCTGGAGCAACAGCTTTTGTACAGCCAAGGGAATCCGGCCTGGTTTGAATCGGTCGAGAAAAAAGCAACCGAGCAAGAGGGAGGTAAGTCGACCGCCGAGACCCGATTGCCCATTCAACTAAAGCTAACCGACGTCGAANNGGAGGTCGACTTCGCCGCGTGAAGGACCTGCTGAAGGAAGAGACGGTTTCGGCTGGCATGCAGTATGGCTCGGCCATGCATCACTGGATGGAGTCGGTGACCTGGCAGAAAACATTCCATGCCGATCGCGATACGATGATAGCCTCGGCGCGAACTTTGTACGGCGACTTTGCGTACGGCAATGCGTTCGATCACTTTCAAAGCGTGCTGCAATCAGACGCCGCGATTGAACTACTTGATCAACAGACGTACCTCGGCAAACCATGGTGGGACAATGCCCAGTCAGATGATACGGTAAGTGTTCACTGTGAATTCCCTTTCGCGATCACGCATCAAGGGAGCGTGCTGCGAGGTTCGATCGACCGCCTGGCGTTGGTCAAGCGAGACGGCCAAGTCATCGCCGCCGACGTGATCGATTTTAAAACCGATACCTTCGATGACGCCAAACAGCTGAAAGATAAAGTCCGGCACTATCGTCCCCAAGTCGATGCCTATCGTGGGGCGGTGGCCCAGATATTCAAGCTTCCCGCAGCGGCCATTCGCGGCACGTTGTTCTTCGTGCATAAGCCGCAGACGATCTGCTGGCGGGAGGAAGGAAACGAATGACGAAATTCATCCACACAGCCGA